CTGCACCATCCAACTAAATTCACTTCCATTGAAGTGGCAGCTCAGGCACTGACAGGGGCCTCAAATTATTCTTCTTTTTTAAATCATGCATGTGGTGATGGTAGCATTTGATCTCCCAAGTGCAGAAAAACTTTACATTTTGGTAGCTATTTTTCTTTAAAACGTCACCATCACACCAACTGCAAAACATTTTATTTAAAGATTATTTTTGGGGGGTGCATTTCATAGTGGCGGGGGATGGAGACGATGAAATGCAGCAAATGGCCCCCAGCTGGGAACCGAATGAGGGTTTCACTTCTGAGGGTATTTCCGCCCATGTGTCCTAATGGCTCGGCTGATTTTGGCGATCCCTTGATGTTCCTCTATCGTGACACATTCAGGACAAACTGTTATTGTAAAAATGTTTTGGTTATATATGATGCACTGCAGTTATTTTGCATGATTTCATTTTGCGGCACGACCGTTTAATGCCAAGGTGCCTCTCCATAATTAGCAGTGTGGGAAGAAAGTCATCACAGTGATCAATAGAGTTGTTATTCATTAAGTTTCAGTCGTCTTAATCCAAAATAAAACAACAACTCAAGGTTGTGGCATCGCATGTATCCTCTTAACTATGGATAAACATGATCACAGCAGTAAGAAGGCTGTGTGTCTTGGATTATAACCGCACCCAAACCATTCCTTTGAATTCTCTTCATTTAGAAAAAGTCTGAAAGTCTGACAGAAGTGAAATTACACTCGCCAATATCAGAGTCCACGGAGAACTCATTTGTAAGCTGGTTTCCTTCATCCCTGTTTGGCAGCGTGTTGCCGTCGTCGTAGGGGGCAGTGACGTACGCGCTCTCCACACTAATTGGTTTGGAATGCACTCCAGTACAGCAAATATTTTCCCAAACACGCAAAGGGGGGAGATGGGACGGATTGGACGAGGCTGCCGGGATTGGACAGACATGGACTCACGAGGGAAGGGAAGTGAAAAAAGCTTTGGGGTGCGACTCTTTTTTTATTTTTTTTCCTCCCAAAGTGCCTGCTTTGGTTGGCCACTGCCTGGTTTTTGAAATAACCACAAGCTGACATGTTTCCATTAGTGTAGGGGGTGTGTGTAGCATTCAATGTAGCGCAGGACTCGTTTGAAAGCAGGTCCAGGATTCTGAGTGTTGTAATTGTGGCCAAAGCAGAATGTAAGGTTTGTGTTGTACTGGTGGTGTAGTGGAGAACCTGAGCCCGAGTGTGTGATCAGCCTCACAAAGTGGGAGCATAATCAACAGTTAAATGACAAATGATAACTTCTTAATGACATAAGTCACTGACGAGTGCACACAGAAAACAGAAAATAATGTAGCAGCGACACGCATGAGTGGAAATGCAATCTCAGTACCTGTGTGGGACTGTCAAGTAGACTCAGGATGTTTTCTCTCACCATCTTTTTTTCAGAATAAATAAGACTTTTATTTCATTTTAATTACTGGAATCTTATCTTTTCAACATTTGAGTAATCGTGTTCATATTAATTCAAGATTCAGACATAAACGTGTCATTGTGGCATTGTTTAGTCTTTTATTTGAACGGTTTTAATAATTCT